TCCAGCATGGCACCATGGGCAACAACTTGGGCTTTGTTAGGCTTTCATGGGCCCCAGCGGTCTTCGGCCCTGCCTCTCGCTAAGCTTACCAAGCGCGCCCATCGTGTTCGCGCTGTTGGGCTGTCTTTCGTAGTTACTCTCCGTGCTGTAATCGATGTGCCGTTCCTGTTCTTGGTAATGTTGCCCAGTGCGTCGATTTTCCTCGGGCCCTCGTCAAGGTGGAGCGTGAATGTCTTCAGTTGTTTCCAAGGGCACCCGCCACGCCGTCCCTCCGAGCGCGATGCGCCATCTAGAACAGCTTGGGTTCTCAGTTGATCCGAGACAAGCGGAGATTGCATGCCGGTCTGCCCTGATCCGCGCCGCCATGAGATCAGAACTATTGGACTGCATGGAGGACTGGATTGCAGCTGACAGTCGCTCAGATGAAGCCACACTCGCCGCTCTCGCCAGTCCTTGCCACCATGACTCTCTCGTCTACCACGTGTTTCGGGCCCGCCGCCATTACCATGCCACCCCCAATGCCATTATCGACGCCCCGCCCAGATTGTTGCAGAGTAAGATGTATGATTGTCTCCGTGCCCATCTTCCCGACCCTCTCGCAGGCGAGCTGGTGCGTGCCAGAGCTGAGTGTTGGAGTACTCATCCCATCGAACCTCAGCATATTGATCGTGTTGTCTTTCTCCTTGACCTGATTGGCCAAAGTCTCCCCCCTTCTGTCTGGCTGCTGCAGTGAAGACCCTTTTCACTGCCTGGCCGACTTCGAAACGATGTTAATTTGGTGATGGCGGGTGCGTGCGGGGATGCTGCAATGTTGGCGGTGATTCTATGTTGCACTATGTCTCGTGTCCTCTCTCTGCCCCCGTCGTCCGCGCTCTCCTCTCGTCTCTTCCGGCTTCCTGGGGTTCCGACCCGCTGTGCGTCATCCTGCCCCACTTGTGGGTAGCTCATATTAGTGATTCTATTACTGCTTACTGCGTGGCCCTTGATCTCTTATTTTCCGTTTTCAATGCAGCCCGAGCCCGCGGCACCATATCCTCGAAGCGTGCTCAGGATGCCATCCGCGCCAGGTCTCGCGCCGTTGCCAGGCGGTCCAGGCGTGTTCGGCGGCTCCTTATCACTTAAGTCTTCGAGGCAGGACGCGGACTTGATTCCTCCCCCCCTTCGCTTCTTGCTCGCGTCTTGACCGCTTTCCTTTTCTTCAGGCGCAAAGGGTTCCTCCTCCTCCTCCTCCGCCTCCTCCTCCTCCTCCTCCTCTTCCTCCTCCCCCGTCGAGTCCTGACAAGAACACAATGGGAGCTGTTTCGCCAGTTTTCGCTTTGGGGGCCCGTGCCGGGCCGCGGGGCCGTCGACAGAACGACTGAGGAGGAAAAGCGGGTCTTGGGGGAGTGGTCTAGACTTTTGGGGTCGACGCTGGGGGAAAAAAGCCACGACGTCGGGGGTCTCGGGATATCGATATGTTCCTCGACATGTTCGCGTCGTGCAAACATTGCGACGGCGGATGTTCTGCAGTTTTCACCCCCAGGAGGCTCTCGCCGGACACCGGGGCCCTGGGAGGAAGAGCCGGTCCTGGGGAAGGGGTCCAGATCGGGGATCGACGCTGTGCCTTGAGATCCTGGCGTCGCATTTTTCTTTTGCAGAAGCGATCTCGCCTTCTTCTTGAGCTCCCGGACCTTCGCAAACCAACCAAGCTCGATCACTGCCACCGGAAAATCTGGCACGGGGGTGATTTATCGCGATGTCGATTATCGTTCGCAGCGTCGGATTTCAGAGGGGGCGCCGAGCTACTTCCCCGGGGACGTTTTATCGCACCAGACTCAGATGTCTTTGTTGTTGTTGTCTCGGGGCCCGAAGGCGGCCCCCGAAGGCCGAAATGAAAGACAGGCCGCCAGGATCGAACCAGGGAGGAGGAGGAGGAGGAGGAGGAGGAGGAGGAGGAGGAGAGGAGGAGGAGGAGGAGGAGGAGGAGGAGGAGGAGGAGGAGGAGGAGGAGGAGGAGGAGGAGGAGGAGATCTGGGATGATGGTTCCTGGTCGGTCCCGCGGCGGTGCTGCGGCTGCGTGGGGCGTTGCTCGAGGGCGCGGGGGTTGGAGCTGGGAGCTCAGCTCCCGCTGCGGCCTGCGTGTCGGCACTGGGGTCAGGATGCCCGGCTCCTGACGCCAGGGCTGGGAGCCCAGGCGTCGCAGGCTGACCTCCACCCTCTGGAGGGGGCAGTCCAGAGGAGGGGCAGTGGGGGAGGACCCATCTTCCTGCTGCTGGAAGTAGCCTTGCCCTCTTCCCGTGGGCCGGGGGGCGCCCGGCCCAGTTCGGGGGCACGCAACGCACAGATTCGGGCGCGTGGGTTGGCGACGGGGGCCCCACTTCCGCCCAAATCGCCAGGCCGACGCGCTCCATCGCCAAATCGGGCGGCGCTGGCTGCACGCTTCGAGGGGTCCTCTTCTCGGTGGTTCAAAGATGGGGTCCCGAGGGATGGGACCCTGAGGACGAGGTGCCTCGAACACTGCAAATCCTGCCTGGGATCCCTTCCTATCCTCAGCTCCCCTCTGCCGCATGGCCCATCTCTGAACCGCCGACTTCCCTCGATCCGTGGATCTGGCGCCCCTCGGGCCCAGCTGGTCGGGTTGGTCTGGGGGCAGGGCCCACAGGGAGGTGGTCGAGCGTCGAGCTTCCTCGAGCGCGTGGCGCGCGCGAGCGTCCAGTGGCATCTCGGGTCATGGCCTGGAGCCCCAGCGCTCAAGCCTTCTCCATGCAGGCGTCGCCGATAATTACATCGCCGACGTCGCCGACGCATCGCCGATGCATTCATTGGTCATGCAGCGCGATCCTCCAACCCGATCTGCTTAGACTCCATGTGGGAGGCTTCGAATAATAAACATCAACATGCCAGCTGATTCTTTCCTGTTTAATTAAGAAACAACTTTCGAAGGTCTGCGCGGCGTAGCGCTCTCTTGGGTCGGTGCTAAAAAAGCCCTTCCCTGGCGCGCGCAGCGCGCCAGGGGCGCGGCGCCCGCAAGGCCAGGGGCCCCGCACAGAGCCGACAGGCCCTGGCCTAGCCCACCACCCTGGGCAGGTGGGGCAACGGCAGTCCGTCGATCGACCAACGAGTGACCAACGACGCTGGGCAGCCCGCCTCGAAGAAGAACAAGCCGACAAATATAGAATGTGTTGGAGCTCCGCGCGGAGTTCTCGGGGCGGCGTTAGGCCCTCCTGGCGGCGCCTCAGGCGCCGCCCCCCGGCGCGCGCGCGCCAGGGAGTTGGGCTCCAGCACCGATCCGAGACATCCGCGTGGAGCTCCGAAATCTTATGCTTATTCAGCTTGTTCTTACTCTGTGCCCGACGGCGGGGTGTCTTCTAGCCGGGCTCTTAGTGCGACCGTGTGAACCCCACCTTGGCCTTGTCACCAGCCAGATCCTGCTGGGCTGACGTAGCCAAGACCCTCGGCGTCGTGCGTGGACCCCCAGAGAGGTCTAAAGACCCTTTCCCCGAGACCTGTGTCTCATCCCGAACCGTTTCTTGACAGTCCCGGGGCCTGGTACTGACCCCATCTGGGAGGAGGGAGAAGGAGGAGGGAGGAGGGAGGGGGAGGAGGGAGGAGGGAGCAATAGGGAGGAGGAGGAGGAGGAGGAGGAGGAGGAGGAGGAGGAGGAGGAGGAGGAGGAGGAGGAGGAGGAGGAGGAGGAGGAGGGAGGAGGAGGACAGAAGAGGAGGAGGAAGGAGGAGGAGGAGGAGGTGGAGGCGGACGAGGAGGAGGAGGAGGAGGAGGAGGAGGAGGAGGGGGGGAGGGGGAGAGGGAGGAGGGAGGAGGGAGGAGGAGGGAGCCGAAGCAAAAAACCTCTTGAGCCGTGCCACCCTTCCCCCCCCCTCGCTCGGACAGCACCAAGGGCGGGGACACCATCAGGAGGGGCCAACCGGTGTCTCCCGAGCAGCGCGGCTCCAGGGCCGAAGCCGGAGGAGGCCTTGGGGGACGCCTGGGGGTCGTCTTGGGGGGGGGCTCTGGAGCGCTCCTCCTCCCCCTCCTCCTCCTCCCTCCTTCTCCTCCCCGCTCTCTCCTCCTCCTCCCTCCCTCCTCCTTCCTCCTCCTCCCTCCTCCTCCTCCTCTCTCTGTCCTCCTCTCCTCTCTCCTCCTCTCTCCTCCTCCTCCTCTTCTCCTCCTCCTCCTCCTCCTCCTCTTCTGTCCTCCTCCGCCTGCCGAGACCCCGCGTCGGCGCCTCGGCTGCCAGGGCCCAGCCCAGCGTCGGCCGTCGGCGCCTGCGTCGACGACCGGACCCTCGGCCCTCGAGGGTCGAGGTCGAGGAGGTGATGGCCCCCCTGCAGAGGAGGAAAAGGTACCAGGTACCCGTCGGTCGTAGAAAGTAGGTATTCTTGGATTTCGAGGTTCCAATATACTTTCATCAGCGCCCTCCTAGTGGCTTCCATGATCGAGTGGCTTCACCTTTTCCGTCCTTTTTGGGGGGCGGGCGGACATCCAATCTATTTCCAACGCCTTCCTACTTCATGTTTCTACCTACTTCTTCCGACCGATGGATTCCCTTCGCCCGTTTTCCCCTTCTGGGGCCTCCTGGGGGCTCTCGTCGCCATCGTTGGATTCGCCTCGAGATTCTGGTCAGAACGCGCCCCAGGAGAGGTCCGGGGAGCAGCGGTATCGGTACCTCAGGTGCCAAGAAGAGCTGCGATGAAAGAGTACGTGCGCTGATCGCCCTTCTCAGGGGCAACGATAGGGGGATAGGCACAGGGGGGGATGCATCGACCCCCAGTCGCCCATCGATCGCCGACAGGGCTCTGATAGCCCCACCCCGCCCAGGAAGGTGCGGATTCGCCACCGGGGGCCCATCGCCCACCTATCGGCGATGCATCGTCGATTCCAGGTCGATGTTCCTCCCCCCCTGTGCCAGCCCCCCCCCTATCGCTGCCCCTCACCATGGATCGTCTCGCACGCACGGTCGGCCGCCACTCTCCGCGTGCCTGCCCGCCCGCCCCCCCCCCTGGGCATACCGCGCCGGAGAGGCCGGCGGCCGCCTTCTGCCGGAGGAGGCGCTGGGGGAGCCCGTGGCGGAGAGGGCGGAGGAGCGGGCGGTCGAGACGGCCTCTGCAGGCGGCTATACCCAGAGATCCGACACTGCCACAAATTTGGAGCGGCAGGATTTTTGCCGTGTTCGGCCTCCAGGGGCCCTCGCTGGGCCTCGGGAGCGTCAAGAAACGGCACGAGACGCAAAACCGGCCCTGGGGAATTGGTCTAGACCTCCTCTGGTCGAGGACCGGGCGGTCGGGGCGGCCTCGTCAGGCGATCGCAAACATGGATCAAGGGGGCGTGGATTAGCGACGGGTCCTGCTTCCAGGGGAAATCGCGGATTTCCGCCGCCGAACGATGCGGCACCGTCAACATTTTGGGGAAGGCACCTCCCCCGATCCATGGATTTGGCGTCCGCATGCGCCAAATCCATGGATCGCTAATCCATGTTTGCGCGCCCCCGACCTCTGCAGGCGGCTACGACCTTTCGCCGGAGTGACCTTGTGGTGCGGGCCCTCAGGTGCCCCCCGATCGCTGAGCGCGAAGCGGTAGCAGCGGCTTGCGCGCCTGGGCTTGGCCACCTCGCGCCCCACCTTGATGCGCGCACCAACGGTCGTTCTTATATGCCCAGGGTCGACGATGGCCCGGCCGCGCGAGAGGGTGGGACGGGGGGGGGGGGCGACATCTGCTGCATGCAGCTGGGTTCTGCCCCGCCGCAGGACCTCGATGCGTGGGCGCCTCCTGGCGCCAGGACCGAATACCATGCCACGGTTGGGTGGGCTGTTCCCTGGTTGGACGGGCTACTCCCTGGGAAAATTGGGTTGTTCCCTAGTTGGAGCTTCAAAATTTCAAACAAGCAAACTACCAGACAACCAAACAACCAAACACCAAACACCAAACACCAAACACCAACCCCCAAACATTACGCTCCAAACACCACCAAACACCAAACACCAAACACCAAACACCAAATCCGAACCCCCAACCCAAAAACAGCAACCCCAAAACACCACACCCCAGACAGTACACCCCACACACCATAGAGCAAACACCAAGCACCAAGTACCATACGCCGAACGTCAACCACCAAACACCAAACACCACAGTAACACCAAGCACCAATCTCCAAACACAAACACCCAAACCCAAACACTAAAACCCCAAACCCCAAACAGCAGACCCCAAACACCAATCACCAAACACCATACACAAAGTAGCATACAACAAACACCATGCACCATACACCAAATACCAAACCGCACACCCCACATCCCAAGCCCAAAACCCCCCAAACTCCAAATCTCAAACACCCCTAAACAACAACCTCCACACACCAAACACCGAACACCAACCCCCAAACACCAAACCCCAAATGACGACCGCCAAACACCAACCCCCCAAACACCGAACACCAGGCCCCAAACAACAAGCCCAAGCCCCAGACGCAAAACGCCATACACCATACGCTAAACACCATGCACCAAGCACCATACACCAATCACCATACACCAAACGTCAATCGCCGCCCCGTGTCTCCGTATTCATCATCCCCCTTCCCACCTCCATATTAGTTCTCCCCCTCTCCTCCTTTCTCCACCTCCATATTCGTCCTCCCCCTCCCCATCCCCCCCCCTACACGCTTCTTAAATTTGTTTTTTTGGGAGTTCCCTTCGGGGTCCGTCCGAGAGCACTGGAAGCCGTCTTATGGCCTTCTTCGGGGCCCTTTGGGGGAGCATGTTAGGAGCCATCTTGAGCGAGCTTGCGCCGTCTCGGGCCATATAGGAGGCCGTCTAGGAGCATCGGCTGCGCTCTTGAAGCCATCGCGGGCGAAAACGTATTCTCTGACACTACACCCCCCAGCAACAAATCAGGGAGGGGAGGCCTTGGGAGGACGCCCACCCCGAGGGAAGAGGGGCTTTGGAGGATGCCCCCCTCCTAGCCCTCCCCCTTGACACACAGCAGACACTAAAGTATGCAGGCATCTATCCTTGGAGGGTTGGCTCGTGCACAAAAGTATGGCGTAGCCCCTTCCTCTGCCCCGGCTACGCATAGACACGACACAGGTCGTTGGTGCTTGGTATCTGGTGTCTTCCGCAAGTTTGTAAGTGCTTTGACACAGTGTGCGCTACTTATTCTCGGGGGGAGGAGGAGGAGTAGGATGAGGAGGATGAGGATGAGGAGGAGGAGGAGGAGGAGGAAGAGGAGGAGGAGGAAGAGGAGGAAGAGGAGGAGGAGGAGGAGGAGGAGGAGGAGGAGGAGGAAGAGGAGGAGGAGGAGGAGGAGGGAGAGAGAGAGAGAGAGAGACATCGTTAGACCACCTGCGCCCACAGGTCTGGAAGCGAGGGAGGAGCAAGCAGGCGGCCGCACCGCTCCGCGGCCGACGTGCTCAAGGCTCCGAGGTCCCACGTGCTTCCGCGACGGGCCCGCATGGACCCGGCGACCTGGCTGGTGTAGGAGGCTGCCAGGGGTTTCGCCGCGGGCGCGGAGGCCTGGGGCGCGGCCTGGGGGGCGCAGTGCCCCACTGCGCCGCCCTGCACATGCCCGGCGTGCACCTGCCAGTGCGAGCCGCGGCTTGTCTGCCCTGGGGGCACCCACACCGAGGCGGCCGCGCCAGGCACAGGGGCGGCCGCCTTCGCCTGGCTCGGCAGCCTGGCAAGGGCGGTGGTGGGCACCTGGCCGTACTCGCGGAGCCGCGCCGAGGCGGAGGCCCCGCCCACGGCCGCTGCGGCCCCGCGGAGCCTGCCCGCGATGCCTGCAGCGGCCGCCACGACCTCACTGCCTGAGGCTGCGGCGGCCCAGGTGGCGGCTCCGCGCGCCTCCAAGACCCAGCGGACGCGCTGAGCATGGCGGCTGCGGGGGCTCACCCGCTGGTGGCGGCTGGTCTGCAGGAGGGGGACTTCGTTCTCGTGGAGTAGACGGGGCTTCCCGGCGTGCTGCACGAGCGCTTCATCATCCTCATCCCAGATGGTGTTGGCCAGATATGCACGCTGACCCCGGACGACGACAGCTACGAGGAGGACCTCTACGCGGCCGCGGAGGTGCAACGCTGGCTGCCCTGCGACGCGGGCCGCATGGGCGCGTGCCCGGCGGCGGCCGCGGGCGCGCACGTGCACGGCTTCTGGGGCGTTCCGGCGCCGATGCGGGTCGCGCAGGTGCCAGCGGCGACAGCGGGGCGGCTGGGCGTGGGCCTCGCAGCGGGGGCCTCGGTTACTCTTACCCTTGGCGGCGCAGGCGGTGGCGCGCGGCCCCGCCCCTGGCGCAGCTGCCAGGGCGCCCCCTGGAGCGGCGGCGGCAGCCGCAGCTCTTCCCGCGCCCCTGGCAGCCCCGCCGCCCGCAGGCTGCCGGCGGCTGCGCCTCCCCCGCCAGCCGCCGCGACGGCCGCTCCTGGGGCGATGGGTGGCGTGGCGGGCCTTGCGGCGGCCCTGGCGCTCCCGCCTGCGGGCGTTGCGGCGGCGGCAGCTCTTGCCGCACCGCCCCCGCCCCTGATCGGGGCCGCGCCCGCAGCGGCGGCGGCTGCTGCTGCAGCGGTCCCTGGAGCAGCTGCTGCGCCCCGCGACGCGCAGATCCAGGCCGCTGTCTTCGACTTCCACGGCCAGAGGCACATGGACTACCGCACGGCGGTGATGGCCATGGCGGAGGGGAGCTTTCCAGACTGGCCCGCGAGGGGCCTGAGGACAGCGCTGCGGTACCTCATGTTCAAGGAGGCGCACGGCGGCGCTCCCACAGGCCGCCACTCGCGCTGCGGAGACCACGTTTCAGGGCATAGACCAGCGTCGACGAGCACGAGAGGGCCTGCAGGGCGCTGGAGAGGATGGTGGTCTACGACTACATGAACGCGGCCAACCCCTCCCCGGGCAAGATGCCGGCAAGAGCGGCGCAGCTCCAGGGGCAGCGGTGCCGCGACAGCGTGGCGCCGATGGCGGATTCCTCGAGCATGGAGTCGCACGTGCTGTTGGGGACCGACCAGCTGCGCGGGAATGCACGCGTCTCGCCAGCGCTGCAGGAACATTGCAAAGAGGAGCTCAGCAAGATGAGCGCCTACAGGAACGAGCAACGGAAAGCCAGGGAGGAGCGCGACGTGGCCCACAGAAGCAAGAAGGGGGCCAAGGGCGACAAGGTCTCTGGCAAGGATGATAAGTGACCTCGGAGCGGTGGGGGGAATTTGGCGCCCACCCCCGCCACCAGCCCATCGGCCTGCGCTGCTGCTGCTAGCAGGCCTTCCTCGGCTTTTCTGGACCGCGGCGCTGGGGAGCGGCAGCGGGGCTTGTTTCCTTTTCCTTTCCGCGGAGCCCAGATGGAGGGCACAGTTTTGGGCGCAGTCGTCGCGCGAGGCGGTCAGGCAGGGGTGCGCCCGCGTGGCAGGGCTGGGCCAATGACGCCATCGACGCCATGAACTCTGCGCGTGCCCCAGGGGCTCAGCCGTCCGTCATCGGGGCTTCCGAAGGCTAGCAGGCGCCCCTCGAGTGCATCCAGACCGCCTTCACCAGCTTGGCCGCGCTGGCTGCTGCTGATGATGGTTCTTTCCGGATGAAGCTCTCGCTGATCTCCTCTCGGGCCCCCCGCTGCACAACGCTGGGGCCCCGCGCCGGCGGTGCTCGCGGGACTTGATCTCGTGGCCCGACGTCGGCGTCGACCCAGGGCCGCTCGCGAATGTCGGCGCCGGCCCAGACGCCCAGTGCCGCAGGGCCTGGAGCTCGAGCGCGCATGAGAGATCGTGGAGAGGTCCACGGCATTATACAGCAAGTCTGTCCTCGCCTGCCGTGCATCGACCCGAGTCTCTCGCTGTCCCCGGCGACCGACGCCGACTTTTTCGCTCGGATGCTGAGCCGCAAAATGGTTTGCTTCCAGGCGGAGGACCGCAGCATCAAGCCGTTTGGTGTTCTCTGCGTGGCGAAGAAAAGCAACCGGCTGAAACTAATACCTGACACGCACTGCCAACGCCTACTTTTCCGACTCGCCAGCCATCGCGCTACCTAGTGCCCGACGGCCTCTGCAGCTGCTTCAGACTTCCGCCGATCGATCGGCCGCGCTTGGAAGCGCGGCATCTCGGGGGTCC